ATTAAACCTCTCTTCTCTCTTTGCTTAAATATCACAAACTTGACGAAGTACGAATAGATATATTCATAAAAAAAAAAGCCTACAACTACTGAGTTCATAAACTATTTAACACTAGTTTGTAAATAATACTAACAAGGGATTTAAATACAAATAAAATCATTTTCACCACAGTTTATCTAATTTTAATTTTTACACAGAAAAAAAACAATATAAGCTATCTGCAAAATGTAACAGCTTGCGATAAGTAATAAAAGTTACATTCTCGATAGCGATAATGTCACAGTTCAATTTTTTTTGTATAAAAAAAGTAAAAGAAGTAGAAAAAAGAAACCTACTACTTACGAGAATTTACACTTAACTTTCTCCAAGAACTAAGTATAAAAAAACACAGGAAAAAATCGAAGAGAAAATGGTTCATTTTTAAATCACACAGCACTAACACTTTGATTCAAATCACAATTGCTCTTCTTTCTTTATCGGCTTTTGGTCAACAACTGAACTCTTCATTCCACAACATACACAACACTGCAATCAGTGTATCTTGCCTGCCTTGGAAAATACAACTACATAGTAACACTTTCATACGCTCATTTATACGACACAAGTAAACAAAGGTTAAAGACATGCATGCAATAATAAAATTATTAACTAAATCGGATGCTACTATCTTTTTAGTGTCCCTATAATAAGTAGTAAAAACTAGATGAAGAAACGAAATCGGTTTTTCATTTAACCACTAACAAATATCCACTCGTTCTTTTACAAATAACTGTACTAAATATTATACTACGATACATGACTGTAATTAGTATGGAAACGAATAATTAAAGTAAAAGTTATTGTGGCGACAAATTGAATTTTAATTAAGAAGACCTGGAAATTTCACTAACAATAAATCTCCTTGCACTTATTTTATTACAAATTTCATTTATATCTTAAACAAATAAGTCAAAAGTTTATTTAGATACAGGTACAAAACAAACAAAAAAGCTTTCTTGGTTTATAAAAATGATTAAAAAATGCTTTTGTATTAAAGAAAAAGAAAATATAAACGTATTTTCGATAAAAAAATGTACATAAAACAATCAAGGTCTTAAGTGGCCCAGTATCCAATCCAAATATTTCGCAGTGTTCGTATATATTGCTGGAATAGGAAATAGTCCGCAACGTTTCGACCCAAACGAAACAAGTCCTATGACGTAATACCTTGGCGCTCCATGTGCCGCGGATGGTTTCATAAGGGGCCCTCCTGAATCGCCACCACAGGAGTCCTTTCCTTCATTCCCGCCCACGCAAAGTTGATTCTTAGAAAGCGTGGTATATTTTTTAAAGCTTTTCTCACACTTTGCCATATCCACAATCGGTAAAGTTACCACCATGAGGACTTGACTTAACTTTTGCTCATTAATATTCAGTATGCCCCATCCTGCTACTTCAGCAGATGTTCCCAAGTAATCCTCAAACATTTGACTGCCCCAGGGCAAGCAAATCGGTTGGACAAATGCTAAATAAAATAAAAAAAAGGTGTGTAAAAAAGAGAAAAGAATTTGGTTATAAAAAACCCTAAAAATTCCGTTTTTTTATACGGATGTATATGAATTATCGAGCATTTGTATTAGCTATCAATTTTCTAATTTAGAAAGAGGTTAGACAGATAATAAATGTTTCGCCATCTAATGGCTACAGTCGAATAAGATAGGCAAAGGTCCGCACCTTTATGGAAAATCGACTCCGGTCAAATTGACATCAGTTGGAGTATTGGATGTTCAAGTCAAGAAATAGAAAGTTTATGAGCCACGAATCAAAGTAGCACATGATTTTCAACCTATCTAATGTATAACTGGTAAGATATTGAAACGATGATCTTTTCAGGTACCCTAGATATGTAGAAACGTCAATTAAAATGACCTTGAAGACAGTTTTAGAGATGACAGTAGACGTCACCTTTGCGTACCTCTCTTTAAACCCATTAAATTTTGTATTGAAGAAAGCAAGATAAACTTTATTTAGAAACGAATAAATGAACTATTAAATTGATTTCAACTTAACATGCATATAATAAAAACGTAAATTTTACTATATTTAGCACGCCACCTTTAAATTTGACGTTTTAATAATTTCAACAAATGTGCTAACCCCGACAACGGCTTCATAATCATATTAGCACCAGCATTTCTTCTGTACACCAACTGTTGAAGTACTTAACGAAGAAAATGTTATCCCGTTGCGATACGTTTTGTCCTAAAATGATAGAACTCGTTTTCTGTTATTACTCTAACTCCACGATTTTTAGTTCCAATTGTTATGTACGACAATTTAGACATTCTCATTTCAAGAATTAAATTTACCAAATAAATCGCTTCTCTAGTAGCCTGTCATTGGTACATATTTGGCCTATGTTGTGAAAATCACACCAGGTAATCGACACAGAGCTCAATGTAAACAAGTATCCCATGTACAACCCCTTTCATGGGTGCATGATCCGCGTCTAAATAACCAACTATTCTTTTTGTACAGAAACTCTTATTTGGTTCTCAAAAATCGTAACACTCGCTTGACTGATGTCTAATGTTCTTTACCATTTTGCACATCAAATTGCACTAAGCTATTTACAATAAATGTCTAATGGTAACGGTCAAGTACATTAATGAACCTATTAATTGTCATAGGGCTCTTCTTCACGCATTCTTGATACTTTTCTTATCGATCTTCCTTTATTGCCTAAATGCATTAGCCTTGGTCTTCCAACTCCTCGCGATTCAGTGGTCTCACTAATAAGTCTGCAACAATTTACAATAGCGAGTCTACAGTAACCTGCGGTAGCGATGGTATAACCCTCTTCGCAAGTTCTTTACAATCTTCTTCTTCGTCAAATTTGTCTGTTGACTCGTTGACATCTACTTTCTCGTCTTCTGTCAACTCTTTTGTCACTTCTTCCTCGACGAATCTCATGCCTGTGATTACCACAACTTTATATGTTCAGAAATATACCTTCTTTAGCACTAGGTTCGAATTTTTCATTGGCAAGCTACTTTTTCGCTAAATTTCTCAAGTCCGCTATACGCTAACACCAATAGTCATCTAGAGTATCTACAGCCTTCCAAACTTATTGTGGGACATCTGTTTCCAAGGTAATTCGAAGCGGTAACCGCTCCATAACACTTATAGCACTTCAGTTGAAAATTTTTATTTTCTCCCTTTTGGATTTCAGTAACTTCGGTATCTTTTACCTCATCAGCCTCTTTGAGTCCATATTAATTCTGATTTTTCGTCATGCTGCTGTCAAGCTCTCGTGTCAATTTCTTCCAATATCTGGGACTCGACCCAGTATCCCTGGACTCTATTGAACAGTTTAGTACATTAAAGCTGGATGGCATGCTTTTAAGCAACAAACTACGCTGTGACGTAGAAGAGCTTCATTAGCTATGCTCCGAAATCGTCGCCTTCGAACATCTTGAACGTTTAGATACGATTCAGCAAGCTCGATTTCATTACTGGCCTTGTTGATGCAAATTTTGATTTCAATCTACATCATAGTTGTGCTGCTGTATTCAATCCTTTGACCAGTCACAACAAACTGAGATCAATTGCAATAATTAAATTTGCCCTCGCTTTGGCGATATCTTCGTTCCATTTTTCTTAGGCCATTCTGGACTATTTTTCAACCGCTCCCGTTCTATATTTCGGCGTTTTTATCCTGCCAAACACATGCTTCCAGGTACTGTTCTTGACAACCTGGGTTCTATATTACTTATTTTGTAAGCGGTTTAATGTTGAACGTTGACGATGTCATCTTAGAATTTCGTCATGCAGTTTTACTATTATTATACCGCAATTTACATTTATCTTTGCTTTCTGTTTACTGATACTGAACTTTCACGTTAACTGGACTCATAACTTGATGGAATTAATCAGAAACGGAAAACGGAAAAAAATGATAATTTGTTTTCAACCTTAGAACGACAACAGCAACTACGTAACAAGGCATGGATTGCTTGTAATAGTGAAAATGTAAATTTTACTAAGAGAACATTATTACATATCTATAGTACCTAGAGATAATCCAAAATTAAAAATCCTGCGCTTCTCATAACTCGCGTAATTTACGTAATACGTAAATAAATAAAAAATATTAAAAAAAAAATAGTTTGCCTCTATATCCAGACATAGGAACAAATAACACTTACTGTTTCTTCACAGCCGTAAAGTTTCTTTTTCGTATATTTAGTGTTAAAACCTAATAAAGCAAACTGAAAATTTGAAATACAAAAGGTGTTTTATTCCAAGAAAAGAATATATTAAAGTTGTTTTAAATATTTTAACTCATAAATCCACCTGTAGTAATACTGTTTCGTTATATCATGTGATTTAGGGAGCCGGGCCATAGGTTCAACCATAATGAGGGGGGGGGGTTCTTAAAGAGAAACCAGACTAGTCCAGGGCAGCAGCTCTTTCAGTACTCAGGGTAGCAGAGATCACGAGGATCGGTATGGCACTATGATGCACAATACTACGATGTGGAAGGCAACGGGAAACCACAACATTATGATCACGAGTAAAACGGTTAATTTAAAAATTCGAAAAAGGTTGTTAAAGTTGTATGTTTAGAGCACAGCGTTGTACGGGTGTGAAGCATGGACAGTGGGCGCGGCGGAAAAGAAAAGGTTTGAAGCTTTCGAAACGTGGTGTTATAGGCGAATGATGAGGATAACGTGGATACAAAAGGTTAGAAATGAAGAGGTATTAGAAAGAATAGGAGGGGATTCTATGGAAATCAATAAGAAATAGGTGAGATAGGTTGGTAGGACACCTTCTCAGGCATGAAGGTCTAGTCAGAGACATATTAGAGGTAGAAACAGGAGTTAGGAGGGGTAGAGGTAAACCTAGGTTAGATTACTGTTCGCAAATAGTTAAGGATGTGAGTTGTTCTAATTTTGGATTCCAACCAGTCTTAGGACTGACGACCTTATGATGATGATACGTCTTGCGTATTTGGTCTTGAATATTCGATCTTGGTTATAATCTTAGTCTTGTTTGTTCGGTCTTAATTAGATCTTGATCTTGTTCGTTCAGTCTTCGTCTTGTTAGTATAGAGATAGTCTTGGTGTTGGTCTTGGTCTTGCATTTTCGCAAAACGAAACCAATTTTGTTCGTCACTAGTTGTCAGATATCATTTTTATTGCTGAAATCGAATTAATTCGACAACTGAATCGAGTATAAAAGATAATAAAACAGTTACAGTAACTGAATTGATTATGACAGATTTATAATAGTTTACTTCACATTATTATAATTAATGGCACATTTAGTTAGAGTTGGAAACGAACGTCATCCGAAATATGAACAAATTTTACGGTCTCATGTTTCCATATTAGAAGAGTTATATTTCTCCAGAAACAAGGAAGAGATACAGAACGGCCCCAGGAATGTCTTACTTTTTACTTTAAGATACGTCATCGAGATGGTGTTCAAAGTAAACAGAAATCTAGGCTTCGGTATATTAAACAAAACAAAATGTAAAAATTTTCTACAAATGACAACTATACTTCATTTACTTTCTGTAGCGATATGCCCCTTCCAATGTCTTGGATGCGCGCTGGCAAAATCGTAGGTAGGGAGAAAAAAGCTCATTATACTCTCGACATTTGTTCATTAAACAGAACTTTTTATTACGGTACCTGCCAAAAGTTTTGTTCAATCATGAATTGTAGTGCGAGTCAAAAACAAACGTTAAAGCCTTTAATATGTCTTCAAATATAAATAAACATCTCGTTGATTTTTTAAGTAATAAATGGTACCAATAACAGCACATTTGAGCAATGCAATTGTAGTGAATAAAATGGTCAATTTTTCCGTGCAATACTGTACGGATTATACGCTCTTCGCCGGTTAAGAGTTTGGCCGAGAGTTGTCTCCTTCCTTTTCTGGCCTAGTGCTGTTCTTTTCTATATTGCGCCGGTTAAACTGAAGGTCACATCGCTATAGAAAGTAAACGAAGTATACTACGCTATTTGCAGTAATTCGGTATAGATATAACCAGGTAGACTTTAGTAAACAACATTGTTCAAGTATGCTAGAATAACATTATGAAAAGTCTACAGAAAAAAAGTATCCCCGTTCTATTTTTATTTAATTTAAAACAAAAATACGTTTTTTTACGAATAACCTTTCAAATTTTATTTGTACGTAAAAACTAATAGAAATTCGAAAGAACGGGAAATTTTAGGCAAGACATATGTATATGATATGTATTTTGGGTATTAAATTAAAGTGAGTAGAAATTTATTAAGGTCACAAATGACGCTGCACTGACCGCCTGCTGACACTGAAATAGGTTTGCCGGAGCGCGCGCGCTGTACGTAAATGGCTATAACTTTTGATTGCAAAAATGCAAATTATATCAAATCAATTGGAGGTGAATGAGTATCATTTCCAGGTAGCATTACATATTTTTAAATATTTTTTTAAGTACTTTAATTATTATTTATTTAGCTTGAAAATGGACCATTGCATGAATTAACAATTATTTAGTAAAAATTATTGTACCTAAAATGAATCATTTATTAAAAATAAAAAAAAATAATATTCTGATAGGATATTTAAAGAGATTATCTAAAGTATTTAGCCAAAAAAAATATATTTTAGGCAATTCAGACCTTTAGACTTATTAGCTTTCC